GTTATATAGTCATTAACGTTATTGAAACTGACAGCTGCGATACAGCTCGTTGAGAAATGAGGTTAAGTTGGTTGCTATAAGCTACTCCCTACGTCCAATGTGTCAGAGCCAACTTCGACCACGTTTTTATTTGAACGCTCGTTATATTTTTTATTTTTAATAAAAAGAAGACTAGAAGTTAAGGGATGATTTCAGAATATTAAAAAACCGTAAAACAGTGGCGTACTATTATATTTAGAAAAATATGCCACCGATACCCTGTATCTCCGCCACTGGAGCATCCAAATCTTAGAAAAAGGCCTCAGATTTTGGACAATGTTTACATAAATACATATGCCCCATTTCAAATTATTTCACTTACTAGTTTTTAAATTATTTAAAAACAACTAAAAATATTTATTTAACACCCTATATCTTTTTGAGGAAGAGACATAGATAAAAACTTTATTCGAAAGACTCTCCTTAAAATTCACCAAAGAATACATTTTTTGTCACCGTTTGTGAATCACACGCATAATTCATACAAAAAAATGAAGTTTGGGAATATGTCCCGGAAATTTATGTCGTTAACTTCCGGACTATAACTGTTCAGTCGTTCGCGACTAGCGACTGACTGTCCTGCTGCACTAATTTAAACAAATATGTTGAATATTGTTTCTGTGCTTTTGATGATTTTGGACTAAAGATCTTCTGTCTCGGATCGTCCTAAGCTTAACTATGTAGAATCCATATGTTAAAAACAAATGATAATTTTCACTTTTACCTCAAACTGTGGAAAAACGGACCCAAATTTTTGATCTAATAGATGGCTGTAATATGAAAAATTAAATGTCTTGCTATTTTAAAATAAAAAGAATTGTCTGTATTTAATATTAAAAAATCAAGTCACGTCATCATGACTATTATTTTGTACACGGTAGTTCTAAAATATTTTGTCAATCTGATATAAGCATCCGGAAATGTTATTTTATACAAAAAATTTTCCTAGAGGATTGGTAAAATAATTTTTCCGAAAGATTTATTTATGTGACACTAAAAGTGTATGCACTATCTATTCTTGTTCGATCTTGATTCTCTGTACAGTTTCCTAAATTACTGGCGAAATACATTTTTATGAACTTTGATTCTGAAAATCAAAACTGGCCTGCCTTGCTGATATTACTGACAAAAAAATTAAAATAAGAAAAGAGGTTGATTGATAATAATATTAAAATGTATTCATTGGTATGCATTTTTCATTCTAAATTGCAATAGGCTTATATATAGCATAAAAAATTTCTTCAATTTAAATTGGTTACACTGAAACTTTCATAACAAATATTTCGATAATGGTATTCGTACATCATTTGCAAGGTATCTTTTTGCCTAAAAAATATAGAAATACATATGATATATAAATGATAAGGAGGTACACCTAGGGGCAGAAAAGTTCTAACCAGATAACGTGATCTACAAGTACCACGAAAACTATGACTAAATTTAAATTCATCATCTAAAAAGCCTCAAACGTAAAATACGTGCGGATATTAGTTTTCTGAAATCGTTATTTGAAAATATTAAAAATAATATTTTACTTTAGTGTCCAAAATCCGCTCTTTTTCTGTGTTTTGTTATTTATGGTGCATCCTGTATTTGATTATATTGTTAAATTATATTATATAAAACTGAAAATTGTCCCAAAATTACTAACCTGATAAAACATTTTAAAATTTGTTTTAGGCTAGAGAAACTCTGTGTAACGAACTTCAAAATACCTTGGCAAACCTTACAACAGAGAAAAATGATTTAATGAAAAAATTCGAAACAACTTTGCAAGAACTAGAGACTCTGAAGGTTTGTAATTCTTATATAACAGATCGCTTGATCTATTACTACTTCTAGTACTATTCTACAACCTTCTGTAATGACAAGAATCGATAATATTCCAAATATATTCATTAGGTTTGCTTAAAATATAACAAAGCAATAAAACTGAAGCTAACCAAATTAGATGTGGTTTGGGTAATTGTTATACACATTACATATTTATGTTGCACAAATTCGTCTGTAGAACAACATCTTTATTGATCTGTCACAAATTCCACCAGTCGCCTGTCGTAACAAGCAAAAAGTATTTGTTTTTGGTAGGTATTTTGGGTATTTTAAATATTTTGAGTAATTTAAATACTCGAGACTCAAGAGTATTTAAATTACTTTTAAAAGAATTTAAATACTTTTTACAAATACAAAATACAAAATATTTAAAATTTAAATAATCGTACAAATAAATTAAATACAAAATAAATAATGAATAATACAAATGAAATATATAATAAATTTAAATACAAAATATTTTTATGGTTATAAGTTATAACAAAAGTATTTTAATTACAAAATACAAATTACTATTTTATATTTAAAATACTATTTGGTACTTTTTTGTCAAAATACTCCCAGGTCTGCTAGTTTAGTGTAATATACTACGTTTTACCAGATTATCTACATTTTATTAAAAAACTTAATTTATCAGTAAGTACGAAAAACACTAAAATCTTAAGAAATCTTGAAATTTATTCTGAGTGTATTAATCTGTCAGGATGGATGCTTCTCACCTTATATAAGTCGCGCGAAACTAAAGCGATTTTAATAATTCAAAAGTGTGNCTTAATTTGGGACAAAAAATTATCCTTGTAAGTTTTTCGTAACTATTATCATTTTCAAGTAAAATTTATTTACTTATTTCTATACAATAACGTGGACATATTACCATGCGAATTTATTATTTATTATATTTTACTTGCCTAAACATAATTTGTCTAATTCTAATACAAGTGTACATAAAAATCTGATAAGTCGAGAGTTTCTCAAATCGTAAGACGCCTTCGATATTCTTCAAGATTGTTTGGCGTTGCTATCGCAATTTCCGTAAACGTGCATATCACTTCAATCCCGTACAAGATCTACATCCAGGAGATGCTGAAAAAAGGTTAAGCTTTTGTCGCTGGATTTTAAACCGTTGGCAGTATAACAATGAATTTATTCGAAATATTTTATGGACCGATGAAGCTTGTTTTACAAGAAGAGGCACATTTAATTATCACAACAGTCATATTTGGGCTCATGAAGTGAGACGCCGATCATACCAGCAAGAATTTAGTTCTAATATCTGGTTAGGCGTGATGGGTGGAAATATTTGTGGACCTTATGTATTACCTCCAAGACTAAATTCAGTATCATTTGCTAATTTTCTGGAAAATAAGTTATTTCAATTACTGAAAGATATTCCCTTAAACCAAAGATATCGCAGTTGGTTCCAAATGGATGGAGCTCCAGCTCACTCTGGCCAAATAGTTCGCAACTGGATGAATGCAAATTATCAGAACCGCTGGATAGGACGTTTGCCATATGAACCGTTGTTTAATGTGGAGGGGCCGGTGCCTTGGCCTCCTAGATCACCAGATCTTAACCCCCTCGACTACTATGTATGGGGTACGTTGAAAGATGATGTTTACTGTACCAATTGAATACAGAAATCAGTTGCAGAGAAGAATAATAGACGCCTGTGATAATCTCAAGCAGAGACCACATGAAATCATCGCGGGGATAAATTCTTTAATACGAAGATGTGAAATGTGTATTAATGCAGCAGGCGGGCATTTCGAACAACTTTGTTAGATGTTATGCAGCTGTAATTATTACTTTCAATAGTTTTATTAAATATTGATTATTGAGGTGATACAGTAATTATTTTATTGTCGCGCAATTTGTAGGTCTATTGTAATAGTAATAATAAATAAATTTTACTTGAAAATGATAATAGTTACGAAAAACTTACAAGGATAATTTTTTGTCCCAAATTAAACGGAGAATCCAAAAAATATTGTTTTCTAAATTTAAAGCCAGTGGTGTACTAATATTTTTTTACTAAATCAATGGAGACCCCTATTTTCTGCGTCACTGGTAAAGTAAAAAAAATGAAAAATTCTCCAAAGATATTTATAAAAATCTTACGGGTGAAACCTCATCACCTGCAGAAAAATTCGAAAAAAATATTTTTTTTAGGGAAACTTTAACGCGCCGTATCTCAAAAAGTAAACATTTGTCGGGTATAGTTTATTTAGCAAACTAACATTATTTTTTGATAATGTATTGATTCCTTAAGTTTGATCAAAAAAAAGTGGACCACCCTGTATAATCTTAATTCTCCCCTCAATTATTATTTGTTCGAAATCGAAACGTCCAAATAAATGTTGAACTTTTAATAATTTTTCATTTGGAAACTGCACTAAAATTTGACCAATTATTTTATGTAGGAACCGGGTGGTTTTTTATAATGTCCACCCACCTTGTTTACTTGGGACAGTAAAATTTTATAAAAAATGTAAGCGTGTAGGATTTTTTCTGTACTTTTTGCACAAATATCTGAAAATTGATCAAACATATTTAGTATACTGGATAGATAAATAAGTATCCTTTTTTTAATCCTATATCTGAATGAATTTATTGATTCTTCGTTTAATTTAATCATTTTTTTTACCGTGAGCGGCAAAAGTATGGAACATATTTATTTAAAAATCAAATGTTCGTTATTTGAAAAATCACTCGGACCCGTCGAATTATATTTTTAGTTGCGCATTTTCTGAAGCAATTTTCATTTATACAGGATGACCGAAAAAAGTTATAAAATCAAGGCCAACTTTTTTAAATAGAAACCCCACTTTTTTGTATTTTTATTCAATTCTCCATGGAATTCTGATAATTTTTTATATAACATAACCTATACCTGTCTTTATCCTTTTCGAGATAATGGCGTCTGAATATAGAATATGGAAAATTTTCAAAAATTACCCTGAGATTTACCGTGCTAGTTTTAAAATAAAACCACGTTTACTTTTCCATCTTAGAATTGTGTGTTTCATAGAAAGTTGTTTCAAATCAGAAAAATCCATAAGAAATAAGTGGTTCGGTGCTAAAAATTTGCAAAATAACCTGGCTCGTAATTTAAATAGTGACATTTAACAAAATCATATCTTATACAATAAAATTATGCGTTTTTAATTAAATTATACCTAAATACCTCACATATATTTTTTACATTCAAGTCATTGCGTCCTAATGATCACAATAAATCACCGAACCACTTATTTCTTATGGATTTTTCTGATTTGAAGCAACTTTCTGTGAACCACACAAATCTAAGATGGAAAAGTAAATGTGGTTTTATTTTAAAACCAGCAGGGTAAATCTCAGGGAAATTTTTGAAAATTTTCCATATTCTATTCAGACGCTATTATTTCGAAAACGGATAAAGACAGGTATAGGTTATGTTACATAAAAAAATGATCAGAATTCCATGGAGAATTGAATAAAAATACAAAAAAGTGGGGTTTCCATTTTAAAAAATTGGCCTTGATTTCATTTTTTTTTTGGGCCACCCTGAAAATTGCTTCAGAAAATGCGCAACTAAAAATATAATTCGACGGGTCCGAGCGATTTTTCAATTAACAAACATCTGATTTTTAAATAAATATATTCCATACTTTTGCCGCTCACTGTATAACAAGTTATATATTCAAAGTCAACGGTCTTTGAAATATTAGCAATTAAAAATTAATAAAACTGACTATATCAAATAAAAATTAATGTTCTTAAATATTAAATTGCTCCATCTTGCTCGATGCATTTTAGTAATGTTCTTCGAAGTTTTTCCAAAACCATTCAGATTTTCATTTAGTTCGTTAGTTTCGTTCCTAATTAGTTGCTTTAGTTGTAGATGTTCTATATTTTCAATATGATTTTGGTAAATGCGGTTTTTTAAATATCCCTATAGAAATGCATCCATTAGGGTAAGATCTGGACTGTTGGCTGGCCAGTTAATTGGTGCATTTCTTTTGCCAATGTGTATGTTAAAACGTTGGTTTAAGTGGTTGCTCACTCTTAAGATGCTACATGTTAAGGTGGGTGGACATTATAGAAAATCACCCGGTACATTTGTGAAATGACCCCGCAGGTTCCTTATGGAAAATGGCTTCCAGCCGATAGTTCTGAAAATTTGGATTTGAATAGTTCTCGAAGCTTAAATAAAAAGGTGTCATAGGCACTAAGCTGAGAAAATTATATTTTTCGAAATATAGTCGCCGAAAGGTAGGAGTTATAGTACCGCGAGGTATAAATTGAAGAAGACGCATTGTGTGGTCAATTGAAGAGAAGCCGTGAAATCTGTCCAAAACACATATTTCTTAGATTGTCGGGGTTACTGAATCCGAATCAGCCATCCGTTCGGGTATACAGATGCTATACAGAGTATACAGTATACAGAAGGTGCTTAGGGAAAATGTTGATGAATTTCAATTGGATGAACATATAGATGAACCAGGACTTCTAAGAGTACGAATTTTCTCAAGATTCCGAAATGCTGCAAGACATCAAATATTCATTAGTTATGTCAACGTGGATGAAGACTTAGATAATTATGTTGGTGATCAAGATAATGGTCCAATCCTAGCATATTATTGCACGTGTTACTCAGGGGCGAGGAGTAGTAGGAACTTGTGCTCATGTGGCCAGTGTTTTTTCGTTTCTAGGCTATGCCCGCCATTAATCACATGTGAAGTACCCAGATGATTCGCTATAAAATACTACAATGAATGCAAATAATTAATTGATAAATGAATTACTCACAAATCAAGAAAAGATGTAGATACATAATTTATACCTATGTGGCTTGAAGCCAAAATAGTTCATGGGAGGGGTGAGGAAGTTGTGTTTACGTTCCCTCATAGGCAGTGGCGTATCATTTTATAGGGGCCGATTGCAACTAAAATAACATGTTTAATAATTATAATTGTAAATTTTATTTTCCGCAGATAAACTAGTAATACGGGAAAATATGGTGTCATTAATAGGTATGCTAAGAAAGCCTGTTTTATTTCTTAAGGTATCTATGAGATTATTTAACTTTTCTTCAACTTATTTTATTACTTATGAACTTCATAACTTCGAGTATATAATTTAACCCCTACAGCTTGTTTTATTGCTACGTCTATGATTATTGTTACTTACTTATGGAACGACCGTTGATTTTCTTTCATTTGGTACATATTGCAAATATAGCACTTCTTCGGCATTGTTCAACACTTTTTTCACTGGAAAAAATCTTACTAACAAGCACAAAATCATTAAAAACGCAAAAACATTAGATTACACTACAAAACACAACAATGGCGAACTCAATTTTTCTGGAAAATGTCAAAATGTGAGCGTAAAAGTGGCGCGAAACTTAAATGAACCAATCACAACACGGGGAATAGTAAATATAAACATGAATCATTTGAGATTCAAACAAATACCCTGAATTATTTATCTATGTCTTTTCTTGATCTGTGGAATTACTTAATTATAATTTATGTTATACCTTTTATTTCAGACAATATTATTTCTTATTTGAAAATGATTCAATTCGTTACGATGTAAAGTCAAAAACATATGTATTCATCAACGATGTTTGATAGGTGTGTAGTACAACATTAATAAAGAATGTACTTTAGTTAAAAAAGTTTTTACTTATCGATTTTTTAACTTACCCAATTAATTAGTAAACTCTAGAACCAGGTTGGCCGTGGAACCTCTTACAACCTGTTATCCTCTTAAGACTTCTCACTGTATACTTTGCAAATGCGCAATACAATATAATAAAAAATATCCTAAAGCTGTAATAAAATATTATTTAATATTATTATAATTTATAATATGATTACATATGTTTGGGACAGATTACATTTACAATGATCTTACAATGACCTTCATTTGATCTTGATGTGACCTTGAAACTCATCCGCACAGCTGAATGGATGGCAGATTCGGATTGAGCGACCCCGATAACGTAAGGAACATGTGTTTGGGACATATTTCACGGCTTCTTTTCATTTGACCTTACAAGCTAAGAGCCTTCTTTAATTTATACCTCGCGGTGCTATAACTCCTAGCTTTCATCGACTATATCTCGGAAAATATAATTTTCTTAGCTTAATGCCTATAATAACTTTTTATCTACGCTTCGAGAACTATTCAAATCCAAAGTTTCAAAACTATCGGCTGAAACCAATTTTCCATAAGGAACCTGCGGGGTCCTTTCTAAATGGTTTAATAATTTACTAAGATAATAAATACATACGTGTCTATACATTTTTAGAAATTAAATGCTGCAAGTCCTGTAATACCTACATCGTGCAAAGAAGAAATCGAAGCTTTAGAACTAGAGATTAAAGTTATGAGAAGTGGAAATTTGTCTCCAGAGCAGGAGGCTGAAGTTATAAGGAAAGAAGTAGACGTATTAAAAAAGTATTGTATGAAATTAAAATCCGTAGAAAACGAAAATGAAAAACTGAAACTAGAACGAGACACATTGAAAAGCCAGGTGATATTATCTGACGATCCCGGCAATGAAAAGCGCAAAAGCGTTAAAGACAATTTGAATAGGCAAGTTGCCGGTATTTTAGGGGACACCGAAGAAAAGCATAAAGTGAAAGTAGATAGCTTAAAAGACGTGACGGAAACTTTGAATAACACTGATACGAGTAAAGTTGACAACTTGTATTTAAATGAAAACCAAGCTTATATAGACGAACTGAACAGTAAGTTGAAAAATATGGAGGAACTAGTAAGGGAAAGAGACATGTTAGCTAATAAAGTTCAAAGACTCGAAAAGGAACTTCTGCAATATCGCGACTTACCGGAAGATATAGACGTGTACAGAAACAGATCTAAAATGCTAGACAGTGCATTGGAGGAACGTGATAAAATGAGTAAAAAAGTTGAACAACTAAAAGAAATGGAAGATGAGTTGAACCAATTAAAGAAAAAGTCATCTAGAGTCGACCAATTAGAGGAAGAGCTAAAATTGTACAGTAAGAATGATAAAAATATTGGTAGCGAACTGAAGAAAGCCACATCGCGATGTACGTGTCTGGAGAAGGAACTAGAAAATGTCAAAATGGAGAGAGATTCGATGCGCACGAGAATTGAATACATGAAAAAAGAGATAGACATATTAAGAGCGAAAAGCAAAGAATCAGAAGTTTTCAGAGTGGAACGAGACAAGTTACAATTAAGAGTGAATGAACTTACTCTCATACAAGTTCAATATGAGAATTTATTGTTGAAATGTAAATGTCTGGAACACGCAGCTGCGGAGAAAGAAATGTACAAGTACAAATATGAAGAAGTCTTATCAAAGGAATGTCAAGGCGACATGTTGCGTTCTCAAGTTGAGGCGGCCAAAGGTTTAGAAAGGGAAAGGAATGCCCTTGTAAAACAAGTAGGAGATTTGGAGTCGTGCATTTGTGATCAAGAAGAAGAAATAAAGAAGCTAATGTCGCAAATAGACAATTTATCCCGCAATAAGGATGACTGTCAGGTAACTTCCATTGTGCAACTCTTACTGTTTCCATGCAAACCTATAGATGATAAATCAAATTTTCACTTATTAAAGTGTTTTTTCCATAACACCTATATAACAAAAAATTATATTCATATAAGACAATCAGATCAAAATTAATTCATTTTAAATGTTAGTTAATATTTTTTTGTATTAGACTGTAGTATAGAATGTTTCAAAGTAGACATTATAATCTTAAAATTCTTGAAATTCTTTGAAATATTCAAAATTGGTGAATTACATCTTTTATATTTATTTGAAATGCTGCACTCAATTGGAACACAGTTCCTGGGGTGTTTTATTTCTTCTTTTTCTTAAGTAATTTCTCTATTCGGATAAGGAATTAAATTTTTTATATGACATTTGGTTTTAATAATAATAATCAGTTTTATTTTTTACAAAATTATCCGTTAGATCGTAGAAAATAAGTGTAAAGTAAATCACCCTTATCCACTGCGACCAACCAAAGGTTTGTTATGAACCGTCATGATCTTAGAATACAGTATTTATCAGAATACCCACAGTGTGACTATAAAATAACCGAACTGGTCCTCTAAATAATTGTAATAACAAATTTATCAATAAACATGTTATCTATTTCTATATAGTCTCCCTGATCTCTACACCTCTTCATGTGTCTTTCTTCCATTGTTGGAAACAATGCTGCAGATGCTTTTCTGATAGGCCGTTCATCAGCTTTGCCACTTTTTGCTTCTTAGCGTCACATAGTCAAATATGGTTTCTTTTATAGCAGTTTTGATTTTCAGGAACAGAAAATATTCGCAGGGAACTAAGTCAAGTGAGCAGAGAGGATGTGCCAGTAGCTTCGTTAGAAACATCTAGCCAGAAAGCGATTTATGTGCTGGCACATTGTCCTGATGGCAAAGCCACGAGCAATTCTTCCACATTTTTTATCCAATCTCATTCGTGACTTTTTTGTTTCGATGAGTTGAGTTATTACATTTTGTAAAAAGTTTGGATCCTATATTTGAAAGGACGTCAGCACAAATGTTCATTCGAGATTCCCTTTTCTCAGAAGTGAGCAGTTTTGACGCTATTTTAGCTCATACTTTTTTAATGTGTAAATTTCCATGTAAAACTAGTCAAACAGTATCTTTAACCATATTAAGTAAATCAGCGCTCAAGCATCGATTTTTTCAGACAATTTTTTTCAATGTTAGCGCTTGTTTTCGATACTGGCTGGGCCGTGGATGGTCTTCAGTTCAATTCCTGTCTCTTCTTAAATTATTTAAACCAACCATGGATTGGATTTAAAATTGGGTATCAGATAAACACTCATCACCATCGACTAAGAAATTGTACGTTTCTGTGACAAATTTTTAAAATTTATCAAGAAATTTGTTCACGTGCTATTCTATTTTCACAATCGATATAACTCCTGTAGAGCCTAGGCAGATATAGAGTCTTCATAAATGTTTAAAAGCCAAGTGACCGCCGAGGTTAGTTAACCTAACAATGCACGATTGCCGGTAACGAAATTGCCTAAAGCTTGGCGTGTCCAATATTAATGATTTGTTTCCAATAAACAGTGACAAACCGTTACATCTAGGTTCGAGATAATGCGATCGCTGATTCGTTGAATAGAATCTCGTGATAAATTACACCAATCACAACCGATGTAACAGAATATTGTGTTTTAACATAACCTTGTTTTAATTTTACCAAAATTTATTTGCCAACGTACAGGAAATAAAATTACCTACCATTCCAAACAAAATTACTGGTGGCATGGCTTGTACACGAACTCTGTATTGTACTCAATGTCGTACGACCTTGAAATCTGGGCGGTAGGGGGAGAAACGAATACACAATAATATTGGACCCTGATAGTTGCCTGGGCAACAAGTAAGCGGCAAAAAATCAATCCGGTTATTTATAGACACACCGTAATAGTATATTACGTAATAAGTGTTGTAAAAAGCCTTTTACGCACGAATGGAAAAGTTACGCACGACGCCGCGTAGCGGCGAGTGCGTAATTCCATGAGTGCGTAATTGCATTACACCACGTATTACGTACTATACTTTACCTACGACTACTACTTTAAATTCTTAAAAACACACCGTCTGCGATCAATGCAAGATTCCTATTACGTCGTACGGTAAAAAAATCGCACAGCTTGGTAAAAAAATCGTACAGTTTTCCTAGCAACGGTCAATACAAACAGTATTGTATTGACCGTTGCTAGGCGGTTGCTAGGAAAACTGTGCGATTTTTTTACCGTACGTAATAGGAATCTTACATTGATCGCAGACGGTGTGTTTTTAAGTATTTACAGTAGTGGTCGTAGGTAAACATTATTAAATACAATACATTTCTTCATCAGTATGACTGTATATTACAGAATTAAAATGTTTTAGTGCCGTATGAGGGAAGCTTTAGCCAATATGAGAGCGGAAATTGAGAAAAAGGACTGCCTGATTGCCGAATCGGAAGAAAAACTGGCGGGCGTACAAGCTCAGCTTAAAAGTTCTATCCAGGGCGTCTCTTGTGAGACCACATGTTACAAAACGCGCATAGAAGATCTTGAAAGGGAACTTAGCAAGGCCCAATCGCAAATCGAAACATTAAAGAAACAGCTTAATAAAAACGACAGTTCCCTTAAAGGTGTCGAGAAACTCACAAGGAGTGAATGCGAGTCCGTTGCTACGATGAAACGCGAACTGGATGCCGCTAAGGAAGAAAATAAGAAACTTCGAGACATAGCAAATAAGATGGTTACTCTAACAGGTGATGAACATGTTCAGAATATGCTTAAGCAGTCTCAATGTGCTGTTAAACGTGTGGTGGAGGAACTTGGTAGACAATATAAAGAATGGGATAATATGAAGCGGAACCAAAAGAAAGGTATTTTCGCTCAAGTTAATAAACGATGTCCTTGTAAATACAAACATGTTGACCCTCATCACCAGTCGGACTCTGAAAACGAAAAGTTAATAGAAGAACTTGAGGATATTCAGAGAGAGAAAGATAAACTAGAACAAATAGTTAAGCAAATCCAAAACGATAAATCTTGTGAAGGTCCCCAGAACGAATTAAAGTCGTTGAGGGCAGACAACGCCAAGTTGCAAGAGCTGTTGAAGAAAGAAGTAGAGAAGCGGAAAAGCCTGGAAAAAAAATTGAAAACTGCATGATAAATAAAAAATTTGTGATTGTTAACTCTTTTATTTAATGTTTGGAAGAGTAAGGTAACTGTGGGCATTCTTTTCTACTACTAACAAAGCGAGAGTATATTTTTCTTCTTATTAACAAAAGTTTAAAAAGATAATAAATTTAAAAGATAATAAAATTTGAAATTAACATTTATATTTAAACAAATTACGTTAAATTCTTTCCATTTTTCTCTAAGAAAGAGTAAATTTCTAGTAAGAAGTTTTTATTTCACCTTTTCTCATTTTTATATGGACTACTTAAGAGTTCTTCCATAACAGTTTATTTTATATAACTTCCCCGTAATATTCAATGATTGGTATTTTTAACTTAGATTTGACGCCTTAAAATGCGTTTCTGAAATAGTCTACTAAAATAGTATGTAAATCAAATAATTTATTGTACTATTATGAGTGCGTACGATATGAAAGGTACCTAGTTACCATAACAATAAGTTTTAAAAATAACATTACAGAAATACAGAAAAACTTACTTTAGTGAATACAAAGAAATCTAAAAGTCGGTGTGGAAGCAATTCGAGGAATTTTTGAGTCGTAATAGATTACGTATTTTAAAAAATTGAACGAACATTTTGGAATTATGATGAGAGAAATCTACAAAATATGCACGAGATGCTACACGTAAAGTGTTGCAAACCCAGAAAAAAAAGAAAGATTGTCAGCTTCGACCTATTGTCGTCGATCCTCACTACATACCTGATGAATGCGGCTCTGTTTTTGTCTCCAACAGCTCTCTAGATGCTTCTGCATATGATTTTCTTCTTGCGCCATCGTGCTGGAACTCGCTGTAGCCGATGGTATATAGCACTGAAGGATTATGTTTAAGTATGGTGGGGTGTAGTAGGGCGCGAACTAAATCTGTAACAACTTGTTTTCACCCTAGGATGGGATTTCAGAGGCGGCCTTAACCATTGCGCGACTAGGCGGCAGATCTTTGCGAGGCTCCGAGCGGCACATCTTTGCGGGGCCCTTGTTCTTTGTAAAATGTACGTAAATCGAATGTAGACATTTCCGATGATTTAAGAGAAATGCAAAAGTTATAAATTTTGAGTTCTCAAATATTAGGTATATTAAGAGATTTTTAAAAGTTAACAAATACAAAGACGACAAATTTTTAATGACAAATATAAGGTACGAGATTCAAACATATTTTACAATTATGTTTTACAATCAAATTATAAAAAATATTATCCATTGATAAATTAATCGAATTTGATATCGATCATTAAATAAATCTAACTGAAAAATTTTATTTATTACTACCTACTTATTAAGTATTAATATATTTACTATGAATTAACCAACTTTATTTTATTGTCATATACCTCTATAACCAATAGCTAAGGATAAAATAAAGTTTTAAATATACACTTTTTTTACTCGTGTTGTTGTATGAGGCCCCTGCAAGAGCGAGGTCCCGGGCGATTGCCCTCTGGATGGGAAGGATAATGGGTTTGACTCTAGCAGAAATAATTTTGAATAATTTTATTAGGACGGAGAATCGACGTCAGGGAATAGGGTTAAATTTGACTGTAAGAACTATACGTTACCTCTATCTCTTGCTCTTTACGTAGCTCTTAGTGTCGGAGCAAGTTGTGAACCGCTGGAGATGTACAAGTATGGAGAAATCCGGGGATATCCCGCGATTGTCGGAGGATGTTCCGGGGATGTTCTTAAAAGTTTTGCAATCGTCGATATCACGCATACGCATGCACTACTTTATGACACGAGCATTATTGTTCCATTGTGTAAGGTAACAATTCGAAACTGAAAATACGGTTGATGAGTTTGGACCTCACCGACTGAAAAACCCGATATCTCTGAAACTATTAAGTTTTTGAAAAATAGTCATTTGATTTAGAATTGAATAAACCTTGTTAAAAAGTTCCTACCAACGAAAAATTTCTTTCGACTTCCGCACCATCTCTAATTTGCTCTGAAAAAATCAAGTTACACTCCTTGGCTATGACATCGATGAGCTTTCTCATCTGTTTTTGTTTTTTTCAAAATCGAAATATCGCTTTCCGTTGTCGAGATACGAGGCTGAGGACTTTTATGTGGAACACTCGGTATGTTTGTATTTAGCATATGTTTTTATTTTTTATACTTATATACGTAATGAATTTTACAAAATAACTCAGATCTCTTGTTTTTTTCCTTTACATTGTTTATTTTTTGTTTTTTAATAACTATATTTTTTCAGATAAAGTTTTACAACTTTCTTTAAAATGTGTTATTTACACTATCCGTGTGTTCACATGCTTCATATTAATTGTACATTGTAATAGTTAATCATTTTAAATTGTCATGAAGGTATACAGGGTGTAACGTAAAGGTTGGGAATAAATTAAACGGTGGATTCTTTAGTTTAAAAAATAAATTTTTGTCATATGAAGTTATGCTGTACGGGTTTTCTTTTCCAAGCTACAGGGCGTTAAAAAATATAAAAAAATTTAGTTTTTCTCCAATAACTTTCGAACATTAGAAGGTAATGGAATGAAATTTTATCCATAGCTTAATTTGATAATCCCCGAGTAACAGGAAAAAGATTGGCTTTGTAAGTTACTCAGTGGCGTGCGTACGGATTATACCGTAAGGTTTTTCGAAGAAAATTGTATTGCATAAGCCCCCTGTTATATCAAATATTTAAAGCAATAACGCCTTTCAGTAATGGGTTAGGGTGTTCTTGCAGTAAATGTAAGTATTTATCCCCATTTAAAGCGTCATCAATGGTCCACTAAGTAGTTTCCAACTATTCCCATCCATACGTTAATGATAAATTTTTGTTAGTGTTTTGTCTGAATAATAGTATGGGGGTTTTCGTCACTTCAAATATGCAAATTCTATTTGAAAAGTGGTAGGTGTAAATCCGAACAGCTTCAGAAGCATTACATTCTGTAAGTTCATACATTAGATGAATATCTGCAAATTTTTCATAGCTAAAATCCTCCATTATGTTGAATCAACAAATGGTGTCAAAATGGTTTATGACAAATATCTAACTGCTAATTATACATATTTGTTGACAGTCATCTCAATTTCCAAGATTTTTGCAAAAATGTTAATATCGCATTTTTGATACAATAGATGTATGTTGTTAATAAAATTCGATTTTCTCAAAAACTGTACAAGATATCGACTGATATACGGTATACCTTTTTTTTAGCAAAGTGAGAGAGAAGTCGAATTATGAGAGAAAAATGCCAAATTTAGCAACGCTGTCAAAGATGTATAAATTTAAATGGATAATTTTGCCTGCTCCTGTTTAATCCAGGCATATTGAATATCCAGTTTAAACTTGGAAATGAACATTACCATAAGTTACTTTAATTGCCCCATTGTTGTCATGGTAGGAATTTTGAAGTTATAATTGGAATTTGTTTTTCAAACTTCTTTCTTTGAAGGCGAATAACTCCACAACGAAGCCCCATAAGAAAAAAATGTTTATGAAGTACTACAACTATTTGGACCTCCCCCTATTACTTCATTTTTGACATGACCTTTCCAGACACCCTGTATATTAAAATATTCACATATTCATGAATTTTCTTCTTGGAAAATATGCTTGTAATCGAAAAGTTGATAGACACTTTTTAATTCAAATTTCATGTAGAATTCGACAATATTTTTTATATTTCAATATTTTTAAATTTTTATTACTCGGTCCGTTATATTGAATTTTGAAATTTTGAAAGTCTAAGGCTGGATTCGGAATCAGCGACCCCAAAAATTTTAACCGCATACACAAATTTTAATGTATCTGTTTTCGTTGCAAGCACAACAAAAATAAATAGATTAAAATGTTCCAATCATGATTTTTCTTCAGAAAATATGCTTCTAATCAAAAAATTACTAGACACTATTTACTTAAATATTATTTCATGTAAAAGTCGACAGTATTTTTTATTTCTTCGATATTTTAAAATTAATACTCTTCTTGAATCTTGAATTTTGAAAATCTAACGCTGAATTCGGAATTAGCGTGACCAAAAACGTATAAGATTGGTCAAATTTTTTGCATTAACTCTTTTCGCGATGACCTTGGATTGACCTTGACCCTTACCTGATCGGGTTAAACGAACCTCATATTAGGATTCAGTGACCCTAAAAATATCTAACACATCCTAGTCTGGTCTTTCGGACCAGGTACCTTTTTTTCTGGCGCTGTGTCATCTACTTACAATTAGTGTGAGAATTGTGAAATATTTCTTATTTGACAAAACCAATTTTATGAAATTAACTTCTTAATTCTTCGGAACAAAAGGTTAATTATTTTAAAATAATTGAAAACGCCCTCTATCTCGGAAACCAGTAACATTAGGCCCCTGATGGTTTATTAGCGCTGTTGGGCTTAAAATTATTTAAGGAGTCACCCCCTTAATTTACGATGTGGACTTAAAATACAACACCCTGTAAAATAAAAGGTTATATATAAAACAACTATATCTTGAAATAATTTTATTAATGTACACATTTTTGTACAAGACAAAGCAGATCTTATACTGTTTGTATTTTAGATAAGGTAAATTACAGGTTTAATTTTAATCTAAAATAGTCATTTGTAATTGACTGTACAGTATTAACTATATAAAAATTATAGACATCTCTAAGTAAGTTAACAAATAAAATCAACAATTATTTTATTCAGTTGATGTTAAAATTATTAATCAACATCAAAGCATCTGCTTATTATTTATCACTTGTCTGTGTTGTTCACTCTATCACAGTATTCCGAACTTTGCAATGAAATATTTTAAAAAAGCACATTAACTCTATTAAAGATTACTTAGGTAGGTACATTTTATGCAAACAATTCTGAAAAAAGTTTTTATGATGTATATTTCGTTTCTAAACACTTTCGAAAGCCTGAGTGAACACAGAAACAAGTGAATTGTTAATAAAAGGCTCGCACAGTAATACTGAAGTGGGACCAATTTACCAACTTACCTACGTACATCTCATATGATACAAAATATAATCAACTTTAAAAAACCCAAAACAAAATGCAGTATTAACAAAACTTATGCTAAAAAATAAGTTGAAATAGTGAACCAATAGAAGTTGAAATGCTTCCAGATTTTCCAAGATAATACAAAATGAGTAACTAAGTATACCGATAATTTTTTAATTGAAGATATCCCATATTAATGCTCAACTTATTTAAAGCCATACTTGCTCCACCTAGACTTGGTTCAAGATATAAAAAGCACAATACCATAAAGACCTTAAAATTACAATTCATAAATGCATAAAACAGCTTGTTTTGAAAATCATTTTGAAGCCTGTAAGAAATAACTGTAATGAAACTTATATAATAATTAATTTTGGATATTAAGATTATTAAAATTTTACAGTAGGTACTATTTCGCCATAGACACAAGTTATTTGTGTTTACACAAAATATGACGAAGTTTATATATAGTAGAGAGGATGTTTGTCCCTCCCGTGATTTTTGCACACCATGCCTAAAGATTCCAGCAAATCAGTTTTTTTTATTAATTTTATTTGGTCTGTTGACAATGGTAAATCTTCTACAGTCACAATTCAATTTTTTTAAATATTGTCATTATGAGATCTGTGCTAACAATTGAATATGCTGGATGTCTTGAAATTGGCATGAAATATTTTATCAGCATATTCAAGAGCCGAGTAAAAAAAAATATAACATAAGCAGAAGAAACCACAGCTCCTTAAGGTGAGCCACTAAAAGTTTTTTTTCCAGATAACTCCAAAAGCATTCAAGATAAAACAATGAAATTTGGAAGTGAATATTACTTTTATGTTATGAATCAAATAGTTATAAAAAGACAATTCTTAAATTCTCACATACCTATAATAGGAAGTAGACAAAATTACATTATGAAAAAAAATTGTTATCAATAAAAACAATATACCTAGGTACTAATTAGATTTACCATTTAGGTCATAGGATATGTACATATATATTACGTTTATTATAAATAAAAAATATCTGGCCTATATAATTGAAAACTTTGTTTTATCTTAAACAGCTTTGGAGATATCTGGAAAAAACAACTTTCAAGAGTTCACCCTTAAGGAACTGTAAGTAGTCATGGGGGGCATTTCATAAACTTTTCCTCTCGTTTTTTATTGTAGGAAATATTGCTTGGCAAATTTCCGACCACTATAAAATTAATTTGTTTAACTTTAGAATTTTTTTTAACCAATCTAAATTAGTCAATAGCCATACACCGACAGTTAAATCAGTCAGATTTGAAAAACCGGAATTTCAATTGCATATTGGTGCATTGTGTAACAAATCTGTCATAACATATCAACGTGCATATTTAATCTTCAGACCTGTTCGTTCAGTCAGATATGTAAAAAACTCAGCAGTAGAAGTAACTAAATCAAAATTTAATCAGTGTTGATGGCTCAAGGGGGCGTAAGTACCAAAAGTGCTATTTTAGTAATTTTTTCAGTAAAGCAATATAAAGAGATCATAACCTAAGACTTTAATGTAGTATGTATGCTGGGTATTGAAGCGCTAATTACGAATCAGCACAGGTGAATATATATGCTTCCATTGCCCTAGTTCCAACAGAGACTTGGTCAATTTTCTTTTTGTCGCTTAGGCCCATTTCCAAGATCAGCAACGTAATGTCGTTTTTAACTTGGCTCATGACATTTTACGGTAATTACAAGATTTTCTGTAGATCTGTTATGAGAAATGTTACTCACAAATAGATAGTTGTAAGGCATGCCATTGAAATATGCTGTAGCACAAACTGCTGTCAGTGCTCAGTGCTCCCAGTAGAAGAAAAAAAAAAAGGACAAAATGGGTAAAATATATTTCTAACAATGCAGTAAAATGTTAAAGAAACATGAAGCAAACAACCCTTATGAGTTTTTTTAACTATTTTATAATGGAGAAATACAGGGTGTTTCAGAAAGACCTCCCGTAAATTCAGGGGGTGATAGTACAACAAAAAATAAGAATTTTTTGTCTTATGAACTATATGTCTATCTCCTCTTATTTTCGAGATACAGAGCGACAAAATAAAATTTTTTAAACAGAATTTTTACGAAAATTTCCAAACGGTGCGAAACATTTTTATGAATTTTGGTATTCCGGGGTTTTTAAGGTCGCCAAATACGCTGGTTTAATTATTTTTTGGATATTTCATAGAGGGCGCTAGTTACGCTACATTCCCATTACATTTTTAGGTTCTAATTTTTTTAAGGTTAGATTTTTTACCATTCGGGCTCCAATTTCTAATGTACAATTTTATTTTCTAAAAATAATGTACTCTTAATAGAACTTCCTAATGTGGACGGTTTACGAGAAAAAAGGCTTTTAATTAAGCTCTTACAATATTACGGTGAAGAAAATAAGTGACTTTTCTCAAAGTATGCTTATGTCAAAACTTATTGATGGATATCTCATAAACACATACATTCTCAGTAATATTTTAAACTCTAATTAACTTTATATCAAAATTTTAGTGATTGTTAGTGACTGTAGTTAATAATGACTAATTACAATCACTAAAATTTTTATTTAAAGTTAATTAACGTTTAAAATATTACTGAGAATGTATGCGTTGTTTATGAGACATACATCAATAAGTTTTGACATAAGCCTACTTTGAGAAAAGTCACTTATTTTATACACCATAATATTGTAAGAGTTTAATTAAAAGTCTTTTTTTCTCGAAAACCGTCAACATTAGGAAGTTTTAACAAGGGTACATTATTTTTAGAAAATAAAATTGTACATAAGAAATTGGAGGCCGAATGGTAAAAAACCTAACCTCAAAAAAATTAGAACTTAAAATGTAATAGGAATATAGCATAACTAGCGCCCTCTATAAAATATACAAAAAATAATTAGACCAGCGGATTTGGCGTCCTTAAGAACCCCGGAATATCAAATTTCATAAAAATATTTCGCACCGTTGGGAAATGTTCGTAAAAATTCTATTTAAAAAATTATATTTTGTCGCTCTGTATCTCGAAAACAAGGGGAGATAGACATATAGTTCATAAGACAAAATATTCTTATTTTTTGTTGTACTATCATCCCCTGAATTGATGGGAGGTCTTTCTGAAACACCCTGTATATGTTTCGACATTTACCGAGTTTGGCTGTTAAACAAGAATATTTCTTTGAATTGTGCCGAAAGTATTTTGATATACGAAGGTTTGATCAAAAAGTAACAGGAATTTTCA